TCGATTAACCATATGAACATAGAACGAAATTCAAAGTCGAATACATTAAGCTACCATATTTGCAACAACGATGGCTACAAAATTAGGATTACCTACATTGTAGCGCTCACTGCAAAGGTTGGCGCCATTTGTAACCCTTTTTTGAGGGTTGTCACAGATACTACCATCCGTGGCACGGATGTTTAATTAGGCTAACCATCCGAAAGTAAAAAACAGGATAGGTATGCTTTAAAATCACGCACCGAGACTTCCTCGAAGATAAATGAAGACAGTGATGGGGCAGAGTATACGTTCAGAGCTCACAGAAGAGCTCCGCAGATGGTGGCATAGCAAAGTTACAACAGAAGAGACCGAGGACGACCCTCCCGATAAACTCGAGTTAAATAAAATATCAGCGCATAACATTCTTCTCCCACCTTGTCTCTTGGTTCCACACAACCTCATCCTTAAAGTTACCTCAAATGGCGTTTTTTCTTGGGGGCGAGTGCAACATTAGATGACATCTGCAGGCACATAAGCTTCCAACAATATAAGCAGGCACGACACCTTAACTCAGTCAGCTGGGAGTTTTGATAAAATTTGGACATTGACAACGTTATCATGATTTAATTGCTTATAGTTCATCGTAAAAACAAGGTATTAGGTCCCGAATGTGCGCGTTGAGGGGTCTAATACTTTCGACATATTGATAAGCGTGCTTGAATCTCACCAAGATTCGTAAGAAGTCCCTTCCAAACAGGTACGAAAACAATATTAACAGTAACGTTCTCCCAACCACTGTTTTCCTTTGGGAAAAGCCTATAGTGCCCTTGCTTCCGAGTTAGTTTGAAGCATACAACATACGGAGGAACTTTCAGCTGATTTAATCCAAGAAAATAGCATCGCATAAATTGGTAGACTGCTAGCAAATGCAGTGATGCATTGGAAATGTCAATTATTCCGTTATACTACTCTGCCCTTCTTCGGAGGGAAGTTTAAGGATTTCCCGAAACCCTCCGCGTTGTTTACGCTTATTCAAGTCGGAAAGGACCCTACAACACCTATCACGAAGATCACTGAATGCAAGATAGGTAGCTGCTAAAAGAATCTCAAGTAGCGAAGATTGGCTAATTCGGAAGAACTCTCGTTCCCAGCTAGCAGCATCGTACATCCGGCGTTTCTCGGGCTCGTCAGCATCGTCTCTGTGATATGCGCACCAATATAGCACCTTTCTGAAGGAACTTGAGTTCACTCTGTCCAAGCGAACTGATCCATCGCCACCTTCTAATGAGCTCACCTTATCTGGAAGTAAAGGCGATGAAAAGTGAATGCTTTGATGAATGAGTCCACCATTAAAAAAGCATGTCTCATCTATTCGACTGGCACGACTGGCAGTCATTTTAGCATTCTCCTAGGCTCTTGGTTGCGTGGACTGACTTTCGGACCAAGCCAAAGCCCAACGTTTTCCACTTCCCCCTAAATACCTGTATTCAGCTCCACCTATTGGCTGATACCGTACGGTGGAAAGTCTCAAGACGTTACATTACCACACCTCAGTAGTATGATTTGGCTGAAATTCGAGTAACTATTATTAACATTTCTAGTATGACATATTCGACTTCACCTTGAGCAAATCCCTCTTTTAAGGCCAGCAAAAAGAAGCTGGGACAGCCACTCCTAGATATGAAACTCAAAAACGCTAGCACTACGCTCTGAAGGAAAAGCAAGCTTTGCAATACGATGGGACGAGGTACTCAAAGTAAGCGGCAAATTTACTATGTAGAATACCTCCTAACATCTCCATCACCGAGCTATCTTAAGATCCCACTTTAGATAACCATGATGGGATATATCAGTTTTACTCCCATACCGTTGCGGGCAATTTATTTCAGGAGAAAAATGGTAGGCCAGACCAGCAAATGAGGCAAACATATAAACTGACAATCTACAGAAATAATTATCGTTAACTTGTGCTATAACTGTATGTCTGAACAAATTTGGAGGTATTGAGAAGAATCGCAGATGTGCTTTGTACAGTCTGCGCACATCCTCTTTTCAAAAAGCATTTAAACACCACAGGATCATGGAACCGAACCTGTATAAGCCATTATGGTTAATTGAAACTAAATCGGTACCTTTTGACAGAAAAATGGTTCCCCTAACAAAAATTAAATCATAAAACAGAGGATGAGAAGATATATTAAGGCATACAGCCTTCATGTGTAGGTAAACATACGAGCTAGCGCCTGGTGAACCGCTTCAAGCTTTCGAATGATCTTCTTATCGACTTCAAACTCAACTTTGTCGGAAGTTACTACCCTGACGTAATCCCGCGGCATTAACTTGTAGCCCACAAAGTACTATGTAGCTGGTTGGACGAAATGACGATGAAGTTATGCTCAATTTGAGGAATTATACTTACTTATTGCGAGCAAAATTCATGCCGTAGAAAGTCCTTTCCAGGAACATCGCTCATGACTTAAAATATCATTTAGCTAACTGCCCATGGCCAATTCCAGCACCTCCAAGAGTTAGCAAAGGCATCCACTTCTCATTTGCTTTGGCAACTATGGAAGCACGTAAGCTTAGGATACCAAGTAGTGTTTACATCTAAGGCCGTAGATAGTATGCACAAACAAGCTGAGTTAATGCCACAATCGGAGCATAGCGAAGTCAACTTCGAAAAGCCATATGGGATGGCGATAACGACCTCCGATCCTAGATGGAATAGGAGCAAATTCAAGTCAATAGAATTAGAAAATATCTGTTTACTGTAATGGGCCTGAGCGCCTAGCGATAATATCGCATAAAATCGAAAGATTTATTCCTTCTTATTTATCAAATAACAATTATTGTTTTGACTGGTTATAATTTGTACATACAGTATTTATGACCTAATGAAAGGATTATGCTAATTGGTCAATCCAGTTTAGCCTAGTTGTTCGGTTGTCTCGAGGTGTCGGTCTGCTATGTCATCTGCAGAGAAAAAAGTTAAATTAAGCCCTGTTGAGTCCAGCATACTTGACTATGTAGTAAACTTACATGGCGCTCAGGCCAACGGTCGAAGGTCTGCCTTCATTGCTATTTTAAGTCATGCATGCTTAATTGCAAGAGGAGCTAAATTACCAGGAACTGGTCATTTGCAGTCCACCTCCATATTGCCGAGCGAGTGGGCTTCAAACGATCCTATTCGAATCAACTACCAGCTCGGAAATGTGGAAGATTTAAATCTTGGAAATTCTGTTCGCGACTCCTCTGATCAAATGGTAAGTGAGTTTTGTACTTTTTCCGTGCGTTCTGTCCGAATACCGGACATTCCTGTGTTTACTTTGTTTATGCTAACTGTAATTTCTTTTACAATATTCAGCTTCAGCTTTCTGTAACTGAAACCGATGACCATATCTTTGTGAATTTGACAAACACGACAAATGAAAAATTTGGTCATTTGGAGTTGTCAGGCCCTGCCCATGTTCGCCTTGAATTCGCATCGCCGGGTAGTATCCTTCAACCTATTGAAATATATTCACAACTTGAGGTCACGCTCTTCGAGATGGACGAAAACTTATGGAAAGTGGTGCTCCCAAAACCGGCCAAGTCAAGTTCTCGAGGTACACCATTTTGCCTATCGCAACCCAATACACTTCATCCATTGGTATGTGCTTCTATTGAACTTTTGTTAACTTGCATCTCATCACCATTATTTGTTTGCGTAACGTATAGTGTTTGACATGCTTCGCTCATATATACGTGCATTAATAATTCCCTTGTCACTAGCACCATTTTTATCAGCCTACAATATTTACTGTACTATTTGTTTTTTATGTGTCAGTCTAAATTATTCTGAAGCCTGAAATTTTTTATTAAGCCAACGCGTTCGCTGAGTGAAGTAGATCCGACTCTGAGAGACTACGGCCGCAGTGACCTTGACCCTCTAGGGGCAGAAGACTGGACACGACGACTAGGTGGTACTGGTGGAATGGTTCTTGATCCTACGCAAGCCCTGCGTCAACCTCGCGACCCCTTCGGACTCCCACGTCCCGGTGGTTTCGGTGGTGCTGGTGGCATGGTGCCTCCTGGTGCGCGCTTCGATCCTATAGGTCCACCTATAATGCCCTCACGTGGAATTGGTCCCCGTGGTGGTCGTTTTAATAATCCTGATCCTGACTCTGCCCTCCCACCAGGCTGGGAAGATATGTATATGTGAAAGTGACTTTCTTATAAGATCACCCACCCTTCCGTATCTCATTTTCTATCAGCTTCTTTTCGTTCCAAAATGCCCAAAAAGTGTTCATTTTAAAAGGTAACGGGTTTCTTGGATTTTGAAGTAAGCTCATGTGGCGGTTCGATGAATTCTTACTTGAGTGTGGACAACCGTTCATATGCTGAATCGTTGCTCTTTGCCTGATGCACACATTGGTCGAAGGCCATGGTGAAGCTCATGGATGTGGGGTTTTCTGGCGAGTGCCCTTGCACCCAAATATTCCTACTTTCCTCGCTCCTTACTCCAGTTCCCCACAGTTGCATACTTGGAATATTATAAAAATATATCCAGCAGTGAAACCCGGCTAGCGTAATTGTCATGAGTTTGGTAATATCCTCGGCAGCATCGAAGGCGTAGACTTCTACCACACCCGCTGGTGTGTGGTTGTCCTCAAAATTACGAAGAGTGGCATAATAAAAGTTGGCGCGGCAAATAGAGCGGAAGCAGGCAATTACGGATGCGATTCCGTTGTAGACAATCGAAGTCCAGCAGTCACGCTGGGCCATGCGAAGGAGTTTGGCTATATCGATAGTGTAGGTTTGCACTTCGTCGGGAGGTCCGGCAGTTTGGAGGAAGTCAGTTGTGTTGCTCATTTTTCCAAGATCTTGAATCATTGAAAAGATGAGAAAGAGTGTTCCGAGTGACTGCATCAGACCACAGACGAATGCAACATCGTGAGTGGCTAAAATTGTTACGGTGAGTTGAGACCATCCAGGGTCTCCGCTGCAGATTGTGCGACCATCGATCTCCCAGTGACCACTGACTACGTATATGGGAGATGAGAGGACGACGGAGCTGATGACAATGACGATCAGTGTGTGGGTGTAATTAGGTTTGGTGAGAGAGGCGTAACACTTGCATCTGATCGTGGTTGCTCTCTCATACGTGTCCGTGAAGCTCATGTTGGCCATGCAGGTTAAGATGACGCCATAAAAGAAGCGATAGATCTTGCAATCAGTGCCGCTTTTATTTTCGAGGAAATGAGACCTGTAGCCCAGCCAGGAGAGTCCCTTGCTCTGAAATGTCATGAAGCAGCACACGTATATGCCGAAAATAACGTTGTTAACAGCTTGTCCAGCCGCATAAACAAAACGAGATGGGTGTTTTTCTTTGAATGCGATTGCACACGCGAGTAACAATTCGCCCAGGACTGCAAAAATGACTGTTGGAACCAAAAGAAGTGCTATAATTCCACCTGCAAAGCTAAGCATACCGCACTTGTAGCTCACAGCGCTATTAAAAATTGTGTACTGGATGCAATCCGCAAACATCTTTCTTTGAAATACATACCTATCTAAACTGGTTAAGTTGTATGTCATTTGTGCTTGTCAGAGTGGAGGATTATGGAGTTGTCAATGGCACACTTGGTCATCGATCAATAACTTGACACCTAGACAGATTCTAAAACACATAAACTAGCTCAGCTTTTTCACTTATGGTGCTTTGTTCTTAATAATTATGGTTTCTGAAATAAATAAACGAGGAACCGTCTAGACCTCTCGGATGCATTTATGACAAAGACGGGAATCGAAAGGTCTAAGGCATGGGTTGGACCTTGTCCAAAGATGTAACGGAATCTCCATAGGCAAGGTGTAGAAGTGCATAAGGCCATTTCGAACACTTTGCTTATGTGAGCCTCCAATATCTAGCAATTCCTCTTGTATTTGTCTTGCACTTCTTCGTGTGGGTCTGCTTTCGAGTCAAGCCAAGATCCACTTCCACTTCTCGCTTTGACGAAAGCCTCTTCGGCCTAGCTTAACGCCTTCTTCCGCCTGCACAGATTTTAAGCAATAATGGAGGAAATTTCCTTGCAAATGAAGCGAAAATACCTGGCTGTGTATGATGGCACTCATAGTTACAATTTCAACAAATCATAAGACTAATTAAGTAATGGAAAGTTGTGAGCTATGAGTTCGACAAATTCTCGTAAAGTAAAAATGACGCTTGCTGGCATTACTTTTTCAGCACCAAATAAAGTAATTTGAGATTTATCTCTATTATATGTACCTTAACGAATATAAACCAAATTTGAAGAGACTTGATGGTTTTTCTCGCTAGTCTGAAAATCGAACAGTAATCAACTACTGTTTAAATATATCATCTGCAACGCCTTGGTATGCAGTGCCCTTTCCGAACTGAAAGCGGGTGTGATGGCTGGTAGTAACTCTAAGGACGCAGGTTTGTCATTTAATAGCCTTCTACACCTTCAAGGTGGGCTATCAAGTGGGAGTCCTGAGATGGAGTTTTATACTTGGGTAAATAATTTAAGCAGCCCTGAGACACGAGAAAAGGCCTTATTAGAACTTTGGTATGTGCATTTGCTGCTCTTTGATGTCCTCATAGTAAAATGCGCGAAACTCTCCCAGATTTTGCTCCTTTGCTGTGGTATTCGTTTGGTACTGTGGCTGCACTTCTGCAGGAAATTACTGCTGTATATCCCTTTATTAGCCCTCCAAATCTAACCGTACGTTAAGCTTGGGTTTCGGAATTTTATCTTTTCTTTATAGACGGCAGGGTATTTATTTTTAGTACTGCTTGAGGTGCCTGTTACATTATGGTATTTAGGCCTAAATTCTCTCGCATATTTAACGAAATTTACTACGTACATGATCTAACTTGTTTGCGTTTACGACATTTTTCAACTGTCGATTCTATCCTGGTTTAATGTCAAGCAGCCTTACCACAAATCCGGTGCTGCTTGATTGATTCTTTGGCCTTGTAGACGCTGCATCAATAATTTTGCTCATCAAACCTGTTGTCTTACTACCAGGCCCATCAGTCGAATCGAGTGTGCAATGCGCTTGCCCTTTTGCAATGTCTTGCTTCGCACCCAGTTACGCGTACCGAATTTCTCAAGGCTCAGATACCACTATACCTATACAATTTTCTTAGCACTACCAGTCGGAATCGACCATTTGAATATTTACGACTCACTAGTCTGGGTGTCATTGGGGCTCTTGCCAAAGTTCGTGCTCTGAGATAAGCTAATTAATTCGGCCAACTCTTTTACCAGGATTTTGCATCAATGGCTACCTTTTTAGACCGACGAGCCGGATGCCATCAGCTTTCTCCTCAACACCGAGATAATTCCACTCTGCCTCCACATCATGGAGACAGGCAGTGAATTAAGCAAAACGGTAAGCAAACGATTTGGCATTTCGATGCCACACTATGCGTATGAAATGCTGTCAAAAACCATCAATGGGCAAATGTTTGGGTTCTTACGGTCAACCTTGCGTTCCATTTCCATTTTCCTTTCTACTCTAATTAGGCAAGTAAGCGATTTTTTGGACGGAATGTTGCCTTCACAAACGAAGTAAGGCGAAACTATTTCTCAAGACGCCGATATTTAGCCATCCATGAATAGACATTCTTGATAAAAGGAGCCGAGAGTTAAAAACGCAAACAGTGGAGATAGGATTGTAGAAGGTTAAATTGTGATTCGGTAGTCACTTTCTAGGCATTACAATGCAGTGACATTTTCCAAGGTCTTCACTTTTTAATTGATCCGCTTATTTGATTCCTATGTTTCTACAGTAGTTGGCTACTGAGGCACACAGTTTTCAAGTCACTCTGCGTATTAGAGTGTTCACTGTGGAGCTTCTGCATGAACCCATGGTTCGTGTATGCTGTGAATGGTCTGATCGGAATAAGCCAACTTTGCTGTCTAGGCTGAGCACTTTTTGCAGTCCATTGTAAGCGCCATGATACTCAAGCATTGTACCGTAAACTTTATAGGATCTGTTGAAGTTGATATTATTATCGTGATATTGTCGTATGCTTTGTTGTTGCATGCAGAACAACGTTTTTATGCTTGATGGACATTTACGTTACTCCCTTTCTGACCATGTATTTACCCACTTTCTTTCACCTAAATTAAATTAACGAAGGCACCAAGCTAGGTCTCGTTTCTGACTTTCGTTGCTTTATTCCCATGTGGTGGGTTCACTTGCATTTGGAACTTGAAACAGCGTTGGGGCGTTGCTATTAGCAGAGACACTGGCGTCTTCTTTTGGCCAGTTTATTCCAGTAATTTCGCTCGAATGCCCTCCTAACATTACTTGGCTATTATTTTTTAAGCGGTTTTCGCTTCATTACGACGTCATAGGCATTGAATTAACATACGAAATTTAAATTACCTAAAAGAATACATTGACATTTGTTTCTTAGTAATCAAAATTTCAATTCACCATTTTTTATATATCCTGGCATTTTTGAAGACGATCACAAGTTGACCTATGGTAGCCTTTTTTACCGTAACCTTGATTCCCCACCAGGAAGTGAATTGGTATCATGACCAATGCCTTTGTGGGTCGACCAGACGTGCACGATGTGAAAATCTTAGTCTCACTCATCCGTTTTCCTTAGGTGGCAACCTTCATAATGCAGAAACTCCTGCAGGATAACAACGGGCTAGATTACATCTGCCATACCTACGAACGATTTGCCCACGTTGCCACCGTTCTCTCCACCATGGTTGAGCAATTGGCAAAGGAACAGTCCACTCGGCTACTAAAGCATGTCATCCGTTGCTACCAACGCCTTTGCGATAACAGTCGGTATGTGAGGCATCAGTTTGCCTAATATTCTAAAAGTGTTTTTGTTATTGGTTCACTGGGAATTTCCCGTTAGGGAATGGAGGAAAGGGCTTCTCTCCTCTCTTTCCGTCTGATATCCATCTTTTGTTAAGTACACCTTTAGACTGTTTGAATAATCGAGGAACGTGCACTTTTGAATACTGAATGGTTTGTGAGAATGCCAGTCTCTTTAATATGGAAATGGGTATCTTGTACTAGACAGGCTTTTGGTGTTATCTCTAGGAGAGGATAGGGCAACGGTGGTCAAGAGTAAGTCTTGTGACTCGATAAGATGTGCTCATTATTGCACTTTGGTGAAGGTATTTTGCCCTTACAAGTTGCATGTATCGCTTTCGGACACTAGTTCGTATCTCCAACGGATTCATTCTACACCGGACAACAATGTGCAATCTGGGAATAATACTGATTAAGGATGAATAGCTCTTTTTCATTGTCAACGAGTTGGCGTTTCGGTTAGTCATGGTTGTATATTCTAGGACTGACTTCGTGTTGCACTCTTGTTAACCTAGATTGAGACATTTTTAAAGCTATTGTTTTGCTATTATTATTTATCACCATTGCTTTAAGTCTCTGCAAATGGTATTTGTTGTTAGTCCAGCGTTAGTAACTAATGCAGTATGGTTTTTATTCGCTTTCTGAGGTTTTAAGACCTTATGTCATTTAGCTGTGCGCCATTAATTTTTACACAAAGGCGAAAATGATGGTAACATCACTATGGTACCGTAATAGTTTGTCTTAATTACCTCAAAATCACGTAGCTTGTGTTTGATGTGTCAAGCAGTAGGAGATACAGATGGGCACTAGGCGAATATCTGAGCTCCGAATAGGTCCGCTCTTGCCGACGATTTTGATCTTGCTTGTTGGCCAAGCTCCTGTTCAAATTCCAAAAGGCGTAGTTTACAAATTGGGTCAGGGGAAGGATGAGAAAGTTGTGGTAAAACACTTCTTGCGTCACTTAATGTATTAGTTGAGGTTATTCTGCAGCTCAATGTTGTGGCCATGCTCCTGTTTATCCTTTGGTCTTATAGTTGGCTCTATGTAAGCGCTGTCTCGGGTTTATTTTCTTCTCGTTTTTCGTGGAACTTCTTCGGCTTCTGCTACCGTTGGTGTCTTGTGCAATCTGGCATACTTTCTTCAGTGATTGGTTCCGTTGTACGATGGTAATTACTTGTTTTTCTCTTTCTCTCCCATAATTCGCTTGATAATGGTAGGTGGATGAGCTTGTCGCGAGCTTGGGACTACCTTTATCTTAACTGTGGTCTTTACTGAACTACTGTCATTCAATCTACTGGTCAGCAGCACGCATGCTTAGTTGTCTCACAATTCACCGAAAATGCTACAATGTTGTCGTATTACTTTCTTTTTTCAGAGTCGAACGCCTCATCGGATGGTTGGTGGATAGTGTGTTCACCCCTCCAGACAGCACCAATGCACATTGTGGTCAGGGGAGGCAGGCAGTGCAAATATCATCCTGTAACTGTAGTTGGGTGCATGCTGAAGGCTTTGAACTATAGCCTTCGAACTGATTTTTAAATAATGCCCTTCTTATTCGTACGTGAAGTAGATAGATTGAATTACTGCGTTGGGGCAGATTTAAATCCTTGTTAACGTGATCAAAACTCATTCATTCATTTGAGGGCTATTATGAACTGTATTTGTCGTAGTTAGGATTTGATGTTCTGGTATAGGTCCCAAAGAGCCCCAGGTCTGGTGTGAGGAGCGCTGTTTCTCATACTGAGAGTTTGCTATGTTAAGTGTCAAACTTCGTCAATGGCAACCCACTTGTCCTCCCTATTTTGATTTACTATTTGCTATCTGCCGATACTTTCCTCAACGTCTGCGTTTTGTTGTTAATATTACTGTCTCCAAATTCACGTCTTTAAAGTATGTGTCTTTAAGATGTGTGGTTTCTGGTTTTGCTTTCTCTTCGTTGACAAAAAGGGCTGCTATCCCTTTCAACGACTGCAGTCTTGCTGTTTCGGCAAAGTACTGTTGTGATCATTATGTGTGCTCTCTTATTCCTTGTATTTTTGATCTCCCGTCCCCATGTTTACCACCTGGTTATTTAAGAAGCATTCTGCATTTTCTATCGAAGATCTCACTACAATTTCCGCAGGCCTGCGCGTTCAAGCGGAGCGGTTTAAACGATGCCTTTTTTGCTCACTCTTACTTCCTTGCTGATCTGGTATTATAGGTGGTTTGACGTTGTCCTACTTCAGCACGAATTTTCACCAATGTTTTTTTTTTGCAGGATTTTCATGATAAAGAAACGGAGTAATTATAATTTTCTTCAAGTTTTTATTACCGCTGTCTACAACGATGCTTTCGATCAGGTTGTGTTGAAGGTAGAATATTTTTTGCGTTTCCAAAATTAGTTTGTTTCGCGAGAAATACTTTCACTTCCATTTGTGTTCGCAAATTTTTTGGAGTGCAGAAAAGGAATGTTAATTGCTTCATTTTTTCAACCCTTTATAATGACATGCAGCACAATTTTTGAGGTCTCAGTAGGTAAGTGAATGCGAAATAAACATTCATTAGCGGCAGAATATTATTTATCAGTCTAAAGAATTCGACTTAAAATGAGCCGTGAGATTGACTATTACTAGGGCTATAACAAGACCATTTTGCTTTTGAAAGATATTGCCGTTGCGCGAGATGTTTCTTCTTTAATTAGTTACTTCCTCTTGTTCTCGCTTTGACTTTCCTTGAGGTTCGTGGGCGTCAACATTCCCTACTTTTGGCCTTGTGCAGAATGTACAGATTGTAAAGACATTCTTGTTTGCAGAATGTGCACTAAATGAGTTGAGTGAGGCAAGCACAATAGTTGTGTTCCTCCTTGTGATCAGTAAATGGTTACCTAAGCGGCTCGCCGTTTTGTATCCAAAAATCCGTTAACAAGCGCTGACGACCATTATTAATTGAATTTTAGAGCGCGTGATGCTTTGCGCAACTGTTTGCCAGAGGCTCTGCGCGACAACACTTTTACCGCACAGCTTGTGGATGAGCCGGCAACCCAGCGCTGTCTTGCCCTCCTCGTTGAACAACTCGCTAGGCCTGCAGTGCCTGCGGCAGCTGGTGTGCCTGGCGCTCCTGGAGAGGGCATAGGCAACGCCAGCGTTACAGACGTTGGTACCGGTGGTGTTAGTGGGATTATCGAGGGTAATAGCCCAAGCGTTGGTACTAATGCCTCTGTTCCTCCCTCTTCCAACCCTCCTCCTATGAAGACAGCACTAGAGGCGCAGGAAGGTGTGCCCAAGCCGGACAGCAGCTAATTTCGCGTGTATTCCTTTCGTATGCACCAAAAATGCCTGAAAATAACTGAAAGGTCCTCTTTCCTTTCCACGCAGCGGTTTTACGCTGGGGGGTGGGAGGAGGGAGCGAGTGTAGATGGATCATCTTGTGTCAAACTAATTGTTCTTATTCTTCTTTACAGCTGTTCTCTCGCCTGTTTTTGATCGTAGCTGACATTTGTTTGTGCTCGAGATGGCACCAGAGCTATTATTATACTTTGCAGAAGGCTATCGTTTTGGCTATTTTGCTGGTTTCAAGATTCTTTGCTTCTGTCAGTGTTGAGCACATCTAGTATGCATATGCGCTCTGACCATTTGGCTTCCTAATTTCGAGGCACAAGCGAAATCCTGCCGGCTTTACTCATCTTTACACGGCTAAACAAATATCAGCAAAAGCAAGTTGCTTTTTCTGTTTTACGGATTTGTCCTTTTCAATCTATGTGGTGATGAATATGGCGGCTCCTTTCTTCTGCGTACGTGCGCACCAGTTAGTTACTTCTGACATACGGGCGATCTCCCCCACCATGTGGGCTTGCTCGAGGCGACTTCTGTTCTTGTGTTTGAGATCACAAGTTGTCAGTGCGTGGCTCACCAACGCTACAATGGAGTGCACACGAATAAAAAGTTGCTTAGTACGAAATTGGAAGAATTCTGATGGGGACCATGAAGTAGTTTACTCAGGCTGCTGGCTGTGCTTTCTTCGCCTCCGTCGACATCAAATATTACAAAAAAGAAAAAGATATGGGATTTTAATGGATTCTTTTCTCTCATGCAAATCAAGGGCTTCTTCTAATTGCGTTATTTTACATGACTTACTCGCATGGAAGTCGGAGTGTAGTGCCACCTCGGACTCAATTTGAAATGTGTCGATCTCACTTCAGTCCTCTCACGCGACACAGTTTGGTAGTTGAAATTCTCGGAAGCATTTCAAGTGGATGGTATAGAACTCTTCGAACATCTCTCTCCAATCTTTTGTTCATTTTCACCGGTGAACTCGTGGCCTACTTTACGATTTATGGGTTCGCGATCACCTATCAATTAGACTTGCATAATAAACTAGACATTCATATATGTTTCCTCTAAACCTGAACTGCTGATAGTAGTTAGCCTAAGAGAACTGGTATTTTGAATTAATTGAAGTGAGGGAAGTATTTTATTTGTGTTTATTTGTAAGTACTGCCCCATCAAGATTCGGATGTCGATTAAGGCCCATTCCTTAAACAATATGGCCATTTAGATACAGAGGCATTAAGAAACTGATAGGACGACATTTGTCAGCATGTGTGGTGAGTTTTCCTTTCATACGGCAATTTTTTTAGAGTGAGGAGATTATTGAAGGAAGTTGTCCAGGGTTGTGACTAGTGAACATGTGCTTTTCCACGCATGGAATGTCTAGGCATTGAATTCCAAGGCACGTCACCTTTGTTGGACAAAGAAAGGTATATGCCTACAGAGATAACTATAGTCAATCGCTCAGCTTAGCCTTTGATCCTGCGCTAAGTGCTCTTTAGGCCCCTGTAGTGGGTGTTTTGACCTGTGGGGCCTTGTAGAATGAGAGGAGGGAGATGTGGTGGTGGGAGTAGATAAAAGAGAGACAACTTTGGTGGCATTCAGGACAGTCATCAACGGCACTTTCTGGGTGGCTGATGTGTCGCACATAAGCATATGGGTGCAACAGTGCGCAACGATTCTGACTTATCACAACAGAAAGGATGGTGGACTTTAAATCAGCTTGAAACACCCAACGCAGGCAGTTGAGTCAATTTCAGCAGTGTCGAAATCGCATCAGCTAAAGGGTTCGCTCAGATAATCAGTACCTTTAGGTGGAATGCAGATAGGCTGTTCTCAAGGTCACAACCGGCGTAGGCTCTTATCTTGAGGATCAGAATAGACTAACGCATAGTAGGAGTTAATTAGCAATATTAGCTTCCGAGATTGAAAGTAGGTTGAACTGAGTGCACACGCTGGCAGGTGGCATCGCAATGGCAATGCGGATCGCATTGTGTCATCTGCCAATCACTTTTAGGGCCATTTAATGGTGGAGCTCGTATCATCGTAAGTCGACTGACTCAGAAGCCGGTGATGAGTGTGGCGACACCTAGCGGACATAATAAAATAGTGCAACCACTCACCTGGGCCTTGGCATTAGTGATTGGGGACGTGTAATTGTGATCCACAAATAAGGATTAGTAAAAGTACTGGGTTTGATAAAATAAGAGTACGACTGAGTCTAAAATTCTTCTTTTGCGCAGGTGGTTAGGTTGAAACGGATGGCCGCTTCTAGGGGCGGAGAGTCAGTCAAACAATCGACGTAGGGGCATGCAAGCATGAAGTGGGAAGGCGCAGACAATAGAAGGGTTCAGATTAAAACAAATTTTTAAGTCTTTAAATCAAAGTGCACCTAATCAATTTAGGATGTATGTCTTAAAGCAAACACTTTAAGAATTAAATTCTTGCGTGCTAGAGTCAATTAAATGAGTTCTTTTAATCTTAAAAACCTTTAAACGTTGTCATTGACCTAAGTTTAGTCTGAATAAAATTCATCCCTTTCCAAGGAGTTTTGCAAAAGTTAAACAAATTCAACGGTGGGTGGTGCCAGTGGAACTTTATTAGCGCTCATTTTCCTTTTGTAGATTCAAAATCATGTAAACTACAGGAGAATGTCCCTCCCATAAAACACTTAAAATTAGGCTCATTTTTGTCCAAAAGTGGAAAAACACCACCCTGGAGGATGATGAGTTTTTATAATTGCGTGGAATGTACGGGAAAAAACAGCAGCTTTACTATCAAATAGAAAAAAACCTTTTCCGTTTGAAATCGCAAACGTTAAAATAGGCATTTAAAAAGGGTAGTACCTTCAGCAATGACTTCGCTTCCTCTATCTTTCTTTAATCATGAGGACGATTTTACTATGCGACAAGAGTTAACAAACTTATTCATTCCCTTTCAGCAAGCCATCGGTAAAGTGCGCAGCTCCGCATGGCTTCCCAAAGACGAGAGGAGGGATGAGGTAATTTTTATTTATGTCTAACTTTAGGTAATGTCAAGCGTTCTACTTTGCATCCCTGCTAGTGCACTTATACAAAACAATCTGATCCCTAGAAGGTGTCAGCAATCCTCTCATCCTTCCCTTCAAGTATTGTCTTCGTTTGTCTTTAGGATTAACTTGAGGTGCCACAATAATGTGCTTACCCTTCACATAATTACATCGCTAAGCCAAGAATTAATGCATTAAAATGTCGGTGATTGCCCAAGTAATTTCTGCAGTCCCTTAAAGTTAGATGTCCATATTGCAAAAATTAAGTGATTTTAATAATCGCGGAGAATTCATTTTTTTATCACAAGCGATTGCTCTAATAAATTCTCAAGCCCAAACATGACTGTTCATCCCTCATTTTGTGGCCTTAGGCGACCTAAAGGTCTGCGCCATTGTACTTTCATCGGGCGATCCGATCTCTGCTTCTTGCTGTCAAACGCTAGATCCTTCTGTGGATGAACGATACATGCTAATCCCAAAGTACTATGCATTCTACCATCTACGGAGAAGGTGGTGAAATATAGCTACTACTACAGACCATGCCACTGTTGAGCAAATTAACTAAGAGCTTCAGATCATTCTTTCAACAATGTTTAAGACGACACACCACTGCGTCTCGGAGAATCTAGGCATCTTAAACATTTTTCGGCTATAATTAGAATGCAATTACCAAACCCTTCCCAATATTAAAGTACGCAAAATGGGTAGATGATAATTGGAATTAGGGTTTCTCCAAAAATCGTTCACATAAAAATTTTTTACATAATTGGGCCTCAAAAACCACGATTGTTTAGCTTGATTTGGACTGTCTAAATTAAAAAGCGCTGTAATTTGGGTGGAAAAGTTGCCTTACCTCGTAGGGCATGAAAATTTATTTGAACTTAATCAAAATTTTTAAATAATGTCTCAGAAGCAAAATTCTGTCTAAACTCTCAACGAGGGATAATCTGGAAGCCTAAATGGACTGTACTGATTTGTGTACTGGGACGCCTAATTCCAGTAAATCGTTTTCTCTTTTTGATGAAGTGGACGAAGGAAAATAATCTTTTACCTTAAATTTGTAAAGCCCATAATTACTCGATTGCCACAAGGCACAACTTTACAAGTCTGTTAAACGGAAGTCCCACTTGACCGAGCAGAGGATGGATCGAAGCGTTCTCATCGAGTAGCGGGTTTATATGACTCAGGTTTGGTTTCTAAAGTGCAGCAAATCTCGTGCATTAAATGGAATGCCTCTATAAGTCCATATGATCCTTCCTATCGGCGTGCTAAAGAGACTGCCTCTGCCTCACCTCGGATTGGCCAGAGGCTTTTGAAAATAATTCCCAACCCGCGTCCAATCATCGTACAACGTTGGATTAGTCTGAGCATTCCTATCTGCGCCGGCAAAAGGTGCATTTCACCAACAGCACGTCTTCCACAGAATGACGAATGTCACAACTCCTCCTGGAGAGGAGTCCATCTTTGGATGGGGTCCTCTAATCCAAACGGTAGTTTTCATCATTTATGGTGTTATTATTATGCTCAGTCTGCTGGGCAATACAATTGTCATCCTCGTTATTCTTCGTTGCAAGTCCATGCAATCAATAACAAACCTCTTTATTACCAACCTTGCTGTCTCTGATTTACTCATGAGTCTGGTTGCGGCGCCATTTACACCCATCGCTGCGTTCTCCGACACATGGGTGTTACCTCAGTTTCTCTGTAAGCTTCTCAGCTTCACGATGGGGGTTTCAGTGTACGTCTCCACACTGACGTCTACAGCCATTGCAGTGGATCGCTATCTGGTCATTGTGCATCCCTTCTTCGCAAAAATGCGCAATTGGATGTGCGGAACCATTATTGCCACAATTTGGGCCATCGCCACGCTCATCTGCTTACCGCTTGCTATCCATCAAACCACTACTGTCGATCCCGTCCTAAATGTTACAATTTGTACGGAGTCATGGCCTCCTGGGGAGTCTAGACGGGTAAAACTTGTAGTAGTCACCTCACAAATCTAATTTTCTTCGATTCATCTTTTGCTTACCTGTTCAAGTTTTTTGAACTACTCTGCACTAAGGTTCAAAAGTTGTTTATTGATATGTTATTTGATCCAACCTCTCTGTTGGAGAGGCTCATTTTTCAACCCTGTTTGCGGTGGCGATTAAATTAGTTAACATTATGTAGTCTCGATCCTTCACGTAGACTCATATTTGGTGCATTAACGCCAGGTTTGGTAATTAGTTTATGCCCATAAACACACATCATATCGCCATTCTGCTTTAGCCATCTAAAATAAACTTTTTTTCGCTCCTCATTTATTACGTTCAGACTCCTGGAAGAAAAAGTAACCGCTATCAGTGTTAATGGAGGAACATACAACAGCACCGTATACTGTCTAGTTCATAGTTAGTTTCCAATGTATTAATAAATACAGTTACAATTGAAGAGAGAGTAAATAAAACCATATTTTGCAAATGGTGAGTTTTAAGCGACATACATGTTTTCAACCCTGTTGACAAGTTGCAGTGTCGCGTTCTAGGAAGGCGATTCATTTTAATCAAGGTGAGAACGCCTCCAGTCAAAGGTTGACGGTGACATGCATGGTTTGAATAATTAGGTGTGCATAGGTTAGAAAGTCCAGCCGATGTCCATCAAGCGCACAACCGTTGATACAAAGCCTTTTAATTTTGCCGGTAAACATTTCTCATTAATAAATAATTAAAGAGAGAATGGTCGCAAAATGGATGTGATTTGAGTTAAAAGAAAGTGGAAGTGTGAGGAGAGTACTTAAAGCGAACAATAAAGGGAGAGCGACGTTGAAGCTCCGCTTCCCCCTCCCTCTCCCTTCGGAGTATCCAAGTCCAACGTATGGTAGACATTACATTTATAATACTTGTTTTGAAAAGCATAGCAAATCACAAATTTTGCACATAGGCGCCAAGTCTTCTTACGAAGCTTCAGTAAGACCAACGAAAAAAAACAGTAGGATTGTTTGGCTAGACTTTTACAGTGCAATGCTTTGATTAGTACAGATAGGTTCTTCAAAAGGTGGTAGACCGCTGCTTTAATCTTCCTTTCTGTTCAATTTTATAGGTGTACATAAAATTAAGCGTTACTCCATTAGTACCCTAGCCCAAAGGGGAGTAGCATTGTGGTTGTTCTAGACGCCATTTATGACACAATCTCTGGCCTGATTCATGGCTTACACTTTAGTGTAAACAATCGCCTCTTGCACTTTAAAACCCACAATCGGGTTGGCAGATTTTAAACAGAGGCGCCGGACAGTCCTTTAGGAGGCACCATCTACCCTAATCACATGTAGGAAGCGCTGCTAAATTCCACGTTGTCTCCTGATCTTAAGCAAAACGCTTTAGAGCTCAAAATCTGTTAAAATCTTCCTTCCTTTACAATGTGAGATATGTGGAGGAGCTTATATAGCCTTGAGTAAATTCATTGCCAACTTCGTCTTGAATTATGCCAAGACGACGTACATGGACATGATGTTACTTTTATTGAAACGCAAATACATTAATACGTGAGCCTATTGCGATTTTTATAGTCTACTGAAGAGGCTCCAGACAACGTCAGATTGTAATCTCAGTTGATTTTTGCCATGTCTTCGAAGCAGGCTTTATGTCCAGCATTTGTGATTTCGTATTGTTTGAAGTCGTGAGGCCATTAGCAAACATTGTTAACTCAAACATAATGTTCTCTACCACTTGTGGACAATTGTATGAGCTAAACAATCACGAGATCTGGTGATAGATGTCCTTGGGACCGTAAATGTGGGGCTAGCAAAGTTCCGCCGCCTTTTTCTCAACATTGTTGTGG